ATTTTTGTGAACAATTGCCAAAAACAATAATTGCCATAAAGGGTCAATTTTTGCATAAAAAATTAACTTCTTCAACTTAACTTTTGAAAATATTCCGGAAACACTGACAATTATATATATATATATAGATTTTAAATTAATGTTTATGTAATATACCTCTAATTTAATTTAAATGTAATTAAAAAAAAAATTGACGTCTGGACTTGTCATCATGGTGAAAATGACTACCGTATTCAAAAATATGCTATTTTTGAGTTCAAAATCTGGGTTTTGTAATTTATTTTATTTTAAAACACCTGACAAGTTGAGTTCATCGATTTTGATAAATAATATATAAGTATAATTGAAAAAGCATAGAAAGTTAAACTTATTTAAATATTTTTGTTTCTTTGAAGTCGAGAAAAATAACTTTAAAATTTGAACTAGCTTAAATTGCCATTTTTTTTTCAACTAACGCATACGTTCTGGTATTCATAAACTTATGATTGAAGTGGCTAAATTAAATTTAGACTTAGTCGGTTTAATAAAAAGTATTATCGGTGATATTAATAACAAAATATGTATGCTCAATAATTGTAATCGATGCTTTGGACCTGAATATCTCAAACATCAAATGCTTAATGTAGATACTACCACAATAAATTATCAAATAGTATATAAATAGTGAGGTATATCAGTCAAAGAAAAGATATTATGTAAAATTGTTGGAATATAAAACTTGTAATAATAGAAAGATGAATTAATACTCTTTAGTAATAGCAGTGTCAATAATTTTTTTTGTAAGAGGATATTTCATTATATTATTTACCAGTGATTTGGACACGATAGGACAGATATTATAATATTAGATTGAATTTATCTTCAGAAAATTGATCAATAATATAAAATTCTTATAATAAATTAAAAATTGTAAAAAAAAAAATTAACAACTTAGTTAAATAAATAATAAGAAAACTTATTAAATTAAAACCATAATTAATCTCATTAGTAAATTTTCTATAATATAGAAGCAAAAGGTTATACAATTAAATTTGCGTATTTTTAATATTTCTTGTTTGTTTTGTCCAATTTTAAGCCATGCAATTTTTTTCGACGTTTTCGAAGACTTCTGTTTGAGCTGAAGATTGCGAGTCATCCGTTACTAACCCGTTAGTAAGGTCAAACGCAAATTGGGGTAGCTCTTTTAGAGCTGAATATGCAATTGGAAATTTATGACCATGTTCGGAGTTTTCAAGTTCTGGGATGAAGTGTTCATAACCTAGCGGTTTGGCAAATCCTATTGAGAAAATTTCGACACGAGTAATGAATTAGTATAACATAAGTTGTCGAGGGCATCTGCTATCGACTAATAGCGACCACGTCGACTTGTGCTTACCTGTGGCTAAAGAATAAGTGATGACCCATGTGTTACATTTGGCTATATTAACGAGTAATGGTTCAATGATAGCTCCCACTATAGGAGCTAGTACTTTACCAATAATCAGTATAAGATGAACGAGCGATAATTTATCATCTGAATGATTTTTTTTTTGCCAGTGACAATGATTCCTTAAACGTTCCCTGAATATTTTTGATCGTTTCGGATGATAACGTACTTGTAAATTTTTCGGGTCGGGCAATTGAGTTGCTGACCAAGAGGAGAATTAATGCCAAAGTCCTATGAACAGTATATTTCTTAGGAAAATTTTGTATTGAATAAATATAGTGAATAAATAAAAAGTAATATTATTAAAAATAAAATAATAAATGCTTGATATTTTGCTTACGGTACTTACAAAAATTATTTTTGACTATGCTTAGTGTCGACTAGATTGAATTAAAATTTCCAATGTATTCTTCAAGCACAAATCGTAAAAATGATGATCAGAAAAGTTCCTTCTTAAAATAATACTTTTTTGACACGCACAAAGAGATTATAAAGAATTTTCTTTGTTAAAAATACATTATCAACCACCAATCATAATCTAATCAATACTAGAAATGTTCCGATTAATTGTCTGCAATAAAAGTAAGATTATTAATCAACTTTCTAATCATTAAACAACCATCAAATGTTAATCATACAATTTCTTATTAGTGAAATGGCGTAAATACACCAGTAAGTCAATGTTTAGTAAACTCATAGAGAGTATATCACCCATGAAATAGTCAAAATAAATTTTCGTTGTTGTTAAACGCTTTTGAAAGATACATTTTAGCTACAGAATCAAAATGAATTAACCTATCAAAAAATGTTTTTTTAACATTTTTTTAATATCCTTTGAAACTTTTTTTTATCACATATGTCAAAAAAAATGTTAAACGAAAACATCTTTTTAGCAGACAACATTTCTAAGTACAGACAAAGGCGTATTTAGGTTTTTGCTATGCTGAATATAATTTATTTATAATATTGGAGTGCCCCTAAAAACTTCATTTTTTCATGTTTAATTTATAGAAATATTTTTTATTTGAAATTATTAAATATCATATAGCTTGTACTATTTAGTATTCTTTATTTTATGTTTTTCACAAATTATATTTAGTTAANTTGATTTTATGTTTTTCACAAATTATATTTAGTTGAAGACATCCATTTTTAATATGCACAAACATTATATACACAGAAAATAAATATATATTCCATGTACAGCTGAGTAAAAGTTTTGCAATTACAGCTTTAATGTTGAAAAACATGAGTTGATATTAAAACAGTGTTGTTATTATTTTGTCTGTATTAGCGGCATACCCAAAAATTTTCTATGTGTTGAGTATTATGCCATAGGTGTGCGCAGACTTTTGAGTCTGGATAGCTTCCGGTCCACATTGCTCACTAAATAGCCCATAATCAAAAAAATTAAAATTAAAATTCATAGATCCTCAATTAATCGTCCCTAAATACCACTTTCTAATATATATAGTAAACTTAAAATGAAATACACAAATTAATTAGATGGAGGTGTATGAGCATGAGAATGATTGAGTTATTATTGTTCTTATTGAATAAAATGATATAACATAATTTTCACTCGGGGTAAAGTACGAGGGATTTATGGTAAGATGTAAAATATAGAGAAAAAATTGATGCTTGAAAATTTTTTAATATAATAATAGTTTGACATAGAAATTATTGTGATTACACATTACGTATCAATAACGCCACTCGTACCAGAAGTTATCTAAGGATGTGCTGACTGTGAGTCGTGACATTAATACCTAGAGTAAAAACCACAAGTGGACTCTTTATCTTCTCAATAGAGTCTCTTTATTTTACACAGCTAACCCACTCAAATATTAGACCAAGCTGGTTAAATTCGTATGAAAAATTATTAAGTGAAATAAAAGTGAGCCGAAGTAACAGTTCACGTGATTTTTTATATTAAATTTGAACCATCTATATATGTAAGAAATGTATGATATGTAAAATATATGTTTGTCACAACTAAATAATTCCTTATAGTTATTACATTTGATTTTTATCAATGCATTTTTTATACATATTTCTCGAAATAGTTTAAAATATTTACATGAATAATATATATTTAATTTGATGACTAATAGACAAAGATATATAAATTCATTATACTATTTATTTATTTATTTTTTGTTCAAACAAATTACTTATTGTAATGTATAAATGAAACGCATAAATATATTAATTTATAAAAATCAAAATTAAATTAATGTTTTTTGTCTATAATTTATGAAAAATATAATATTAGTATTTTTTATTTACAGAAAAATGTAACAACAGTTCATTTAATGTTTTAAATATGTTAAAACTATGTCTACTATATTAGATTTTCACTCATAGTTTTTTGTAATTTTTTTTTTTACAATCAATTGTAATGATTTTAATTAGTTATGCATTGTTGTTAATTTGTTTAGCTAAAATCTGTACGTGTGTGCAAATTGATATGGACAATATAACACATGATGTCGCAAGACAACATATAAATTACCACGAGATATTGTTACCTTTGGAACTAAAGAATGGTACTGTATATTCTTGTGCTAAAGTTTCAGTCAAAAAATTCGAAGAAATCTACCTAAATGACGACATTGATAATCCTGTACCTTTGGTTGAAGAATATCTAGGTTCAGCTCCTCGTTTATCACACCGTACGCCTGTTGTTGGAAAAACTTTACGACAAATTACGGATCAAGCTATAAAAGAATTTAAAGATTCAATGGAAGCCATAGTTTGGCTTAGAAATGTTATTACATTATTATTGCAATATAATGTATTCACAGTGTATACGATAGAGCGCATACCAAAAGAACATGAACATTTTAGTCGTCATTTTAATGAGGCCTCAACATTTTCCAATTTTCTATCAGAAAAGTTTAAAGATTATCGTTTACGTAGAGAACCCATTGATGAAATAATTTTAATTTTTAATGAATACAACCAAACTCCATAATTAGAAGAAGATAAACAGAAATTCTTTAAACTTTGCTGGAGTTTTTTATAGCGTTTTATAGTGTAATAACTAAAAATAAAGTTGTTGTTATTAATACCATATTAATAAAGAATAATAATAATGACATCATCTGTAAAGACATAATAGATACATATACTTTGTTTCTAGTCATTACTTTATTAGTGTAGTTAGTGTATTAAAACTACTCTTACCTGATATTCAGTGATGATGATAGAATATTGATATTAGATTTATGGTTGTTAAGAATATATTTAAAACTATAATAATATATTAATAAATGAGAATCGAATTTGGATAGTAGAAGCGTATTTATTATTATAGAAAATGTTAATTATTTTAACAAATGTATGTGGGAAATGCAAACAGGCAATTACAGGAACAGAGCGAAGACGCAATACTATTATTTAATTTATATATATATATATA